TGAGTTTTACATAACAGTTGTGACTTTTACAGAAATTGTGAACATGGCATGTGAAGACCACTTTTTCATCTATGCAATGCTTTTCTAGGAGACAAGTTGGATAAATGTTGCCCCTCTTTTGGTCTGTGAGAAGCCGCACCTTTGTGTTCCCTGTGAATGCTGGCATTTCCAGTTTACTTTTAGTGTGGTAGTGCTGGGGTCTCCAAACGCCATTCTTCCTGTGAAGGTCTCTGGAAGTTCCCTGTGGCCAAGGAGCTGGTGACCTCACTCTGAGGACAGTTGTTATCCCCCGTCACCCTGTGGAGGTCATGGAGGTCTTGGAGGTTGTGGAGGTCATAGCTTCCTTACTGGTGCTTCCATGAAGGCCTGGCCATCAAGCTAGGGTTTAGGGACTTCTTAATTTTCTTTTTTTTTTTGGGTGCCGGGAATTGAACTCATGACCTCAGGCTTGCCAGGCAAGCGCTTATGCCACTGAGCTATATCTCCGGCCGAGGGACTTCTTGTTGTGAAACAAAACAGCCTTGAGAAAGTTCAGCCCCGCTCGCAGCAGGAGTCCAAACAGGCCCATCCAGTCCTCATTCCAAGCCTGAAGGTTAGGGTGCACCTGCCTCACACCAGCTGGCCACGGCTCTGGGCAGCATAGACATTAGTGGGGTGAGGGTGTGTTGGGTCACAGTTGTTGGGGGTATGAATGGGTCCCCTCACCATCTACTGTGCTCATTTAAAAAATAACTAATTTGTACAGATAATTTATTCAGTATTTTATTTAGATCTAAACCCCATCATTTTGTTTCAGCTGATCAGTAATAAAAGTGATACCCAGTAATGCACTCGCAGAAAATTTCAATCAGGCTTTACAATAAATGCCTAACAGCCCTTCCTCTCTCCTCTTCTCTCCTCTCCTTCCCTCTCCTCCTTGTTCTTTCCTTCTGTCTTTCTTTCTTCCCTCTTTGCTCTTTTGCCTTCCTTCTCTCTCTTTCCTCCTCTCTCCCTCATTTCCATTACTGTCTTGGGCAGGATAAACTAATGAAGAGGGCTAAATAATTGCAATGCTTCATTTCCTCCCTTCCTTTTGGATTTAACAGAATTTGGCTGGTAATTAACTTTAATATAAATTTTGACATGCTTTGCTAAAAAGGAGCAATTTTAAATTCATTTCAGAATGTCACCATTATTTATAAGACACTATATCATCTCGTGAGATTGTTGTTATGTAAGAGCTTGCTTATGTGAGTCATGTAAGTCACCTCCGAAATTTTACATCATTGTTGTATTACTGGAAAGGATTAATGTTAAATTGACATGTGCAGTATTTACTATATTGATATGAGTGGGTTGAATTATTAAAATTACCTCCTCTTTATCATTTCATTCATGTACACATATGTGATTTATAAGTAAACATGTCTTGGGATATATCCATTGGGTATGTAAAATATTAGTTCCCCAGCAGCTATGATAGCTGTTTCAACTTTTTAATTTTTTTCTTTTAAAACTAGTGATAAATATCTTCAGGCATATTTAAACCTAAGTGAGGCCTTCTCTGTTACCTGGGTGCTGTGAGACAATCTGCCTAGGGTTCATGTCAGCTAATTTAATGCGCAACAGGTGAAGGATACAATTTCCTTGGTACAAGAAAAGCACTCCTCCCCCACCTCTATTTAGACCCCAGATGGTGGCACAAATCAAGACTATGTGACGTTAAATCATGTCAACACATAAATTCTTGTTACAAATGAAGCAGCACAGATGAACAAGTTAGTTAGGAGGATGTAATGTCACCGAGTTGGAGTTGCTCCAAGTGATGTGAGAACTTCTGCCCACTGGTCAGCCTCTAGCTGACTGTAATTGGGAAAGTAAGTAACTCAAGCTTGCCTTTACCTCTGAATTAGTATTTGTGATATATTTTTTTCTGCCCCGAAGTGTGTGTGTGTATCCCGCTTACTCAGGGAAGGGCTTCATCCCCAGGCAAAGCCCCTGTGGCAGGCTGGCCAGGGCACAGGTGCATGCACTTCCTGTGTGACAGCTTCCAGGGTCTTTGGAAACAGGGAGCAGGCTCAGTGAGGAGTGAGATCAGTCACACCGCACACAGTGTTGTGTTTTGTCCCGTCATGTTGCCGTACTTAGCTAATGATCACGTGTGAGTATGTAGATGTAAAAAAAATCCTCACCACCTGCTTGAAAAAGTAGGATTCCTTTCCTGGGTGTGCATCACTTGGCAAATTCCCCTCTGTGCCATTTGGCCTCAGTGCAGTAATCATGTGCTTCACGGCCTTCAAATCCTCAAGGATGGGCGTGGAGTCTGGTATGAATGCATGCTCTATGGAGATATTCATGATCTTAAAGGTAATTTTAGAAAGGATGTGCAATCTGACAATGAGAAATTATCAGGATACTTTATTTCAGAGCATAAAACTAATTTAGCAAACAACCAAGATGATTACTTCTATTTCTTCTCTTTCATGACTGACACACCTAGAAACCAGCTGTTTTTCCCACTCTCCAGGCCACACATGACTAGGAAAGGGACGGGACTCTTCCCATCCCTTGGCTGTGATCCTTGGGGAAGACATAGAAGAGAAAAGTGAAAGGCCAGCTCTGGCCCTGTGTGTCTCGAATTTCACTGCAGGCAGAGCCAGTGTGGTTTTCTACCAGGCTGCTTTCCTGGGTAGTGCTCCCTAGAAGGTGGAGCGGTAACTTGAGGCACAGCAGGGCTTCCTCATGACAGGACTTTCCTCCAAGACTGGAATACGCAAGGACAGATTTGGTCCCCTCTTCTGCCCTCCCCCCTGCTATTTCCACTTTTGAATGTGTAAAGAGGAGGAGGAAGTGAGCAGACCACCTTCTCACAGTAACATACAATGGCATTTCCACGTCACAGGGTCAGCAGCCAGCTTATCCCACGTTTTCGGGGCTTCACTTCTGTAGTTCACACCCCCCACAGCACGGGGCCTGACCTGAGTTGTCCTGCAGTAAGTGTGTAGTAGACTGAAACTGGTGTCCTTTACTTTACCTGCATGTGATAGACAGGGAATAGTCCAGGAACCAGGAAAGCAGAACTGAAATTCTGGATCTGACTTTTTCGAGCTCCCTGATCTTTGCAAAGTCTTTTCACTTTTCTTATCATTTTGAACAATGATGTTAGGATTGGCTGATTTTTAAAATTATTACTTTCATGATTTATAATCAATACATAATATAAGCTTGGGATTGTTGAAATCAGTAGTGTGCTGGTAAATGTTATTGACTGTCTTTAAAAAAGAGTAACAATGATAATGCAGCCCTGGTTTTTGATGCTGCCTAGTTCTATGGTATAGATATGCCTGATGTGGCTGACTGCAAGTTACCAAAGTGACTTCCTGGTCACGGAGACAAGAGGGGCACATTCACCTTTCTCCCTAAACCCTACTCACAATCAGGGATTTAAATCACCCTTGAACACCTCCTTCTGCCTAACAGATTTATCTTCCTTCACTGAGAATACTGGACTGATGATCATCTTTGTAGTTTCCCTGGCTTGGTAAGGAGTTATTGCTACTCTGCACAGAGCAGAGTTCTTTGAGACCATTACTTCAGAAAGTAGGTTTCACATGGGCTCCTAGCAGAGAGCCTAAAGCTATGTCTTCTGGCCCTGTGTGCACATTAAACCTGTTCCTACCATCTGTACTGACATCCGCTGTTCCACGGGTCTGAGAGCTGTGCCTTTCAGTTCCTCTTCATTTCTGACATCCAGGAATTCCTTTCTCTTTCAACCCTGCATCACTGTTAGACATTTTTAATATTTTAAAAATCTAGCATTTGTTTCAAAAAAGGTTTGCCAACTAAGGTAATGTACTTTGTTGCTGCAAGTTCTGTTTCAACTTATAATTATCACATTTTATAGCTGGGTGGAAAGATTTTCTTTACTCACTGAATTGAGACGGTACATACCATGGGTACCAGATAAATCCAGCAGGTCAGAACAGTTACTATGGGCTGTTATTTTTTTCTCCATTTGTACAGAGGTCAATTTTACACGAAGTGAGGATCTCCAATACTGGATTTGAGCGTAGCAGGAAGTATAAACCATGGCCTCTGGGCTTAGAGGAGCTCATATGTTAAGGGCCCCAAATGTGAATAGAGGGTTATGGAATGAGGTCAAGGGTGTGCTAGTGAAGTCTGAAAGGAATGTCCTGACAGATATGGCACTCCTCATGGACCGTGCAGAAGTCAGAGAAGCCTGGAGAGACGTCACTGCTACACAGCATGTGTGCGTGTGTGCGTGTGCACGTGCACCCACTGGGGTGGCAGAGAAGAGACAGCAGATACCAGAAACAGCGATGAAAGTGACAGGGCAGGGGTCAGCAACACACTGCAGCAGACTTCACAGACCATGGATTACAAGGGTTTATTCCAATAGGCAGCAGTTATGGTCAGCTCTATTGAAATCTCATCATAGAACAACAAGCCCTGCACATAAACGTGGCAGCGATGTGTGCTCTTTCTCATCTTAGTATTGAGAATATTAAGTAATTTGTATGTTTAAAATTCCTTTCTGAAATAAGCCTAAATTTTAAAAAAGATTAAATGAACAATCCTGATGGAGGTTGGTTACTATTCTGTATTCTATAGCAATGTCACACCTAGTAGGTATTCAAAATCCAATTGGTGAATGAACAAACATAATTTAATTGAATAAAACAAACAAAATATCATAGTCCCTGGGACCTGTATAGCCTCATGCAAGAATGTGGTTGGACCCCTGCCTCACTCTATATAAATTTAATCAATGACCCAGCGTGGTTCAATGGGAAATTGCTAGTAATGGTACAGTATTGCACTTTGGTGATGAAAATGTTCTGGAATTAGAAATGACAACTGCACAACTTTGCGAATATAGTAAAACCCACAAAATCACATACTTTAGAAGGGTGAATTTTAGGGCATGGCATGCAAAGTCTATTTTGATAAAACACAAACACAAACAAAACGAATAGCAGCAGTAACAAAGCCATGGCCCAGAAAGTTGAATTGAGGCTTTTATTGAAAAGTTCAAACGAGGTACTCTTCACACTAAAAATGAATAAAAGTTATAGAGGAAGGAACATTTGAATTTAAAGCAAATTTGGAAGACGGTCAAAGATGGATTTCAATAATTATGAGATGTGTAATTTTTCAAGTTTCTGAAATGGGGTTGAACTGGTGTGCCACAGTTCATCCTGCTGCATGTTCTCTTTCCTGGTGGTATACAAAATTATGATGTCTCAGACTCAGTGAATAATAGTACTTAGGTTTCCAAATAATATAGCAGAGGCTGCTGGCTGTCCCTATGTGCTTTCTTGTCTCCTTGTAGCTGGGGAGACGGTATCAGCCTGAGACTTCCACCTGCTGGGGGTGGTCACACGCCTGGGTTCCGCCCAATGCTGAGAAGTGGATCACTTCTGATTTATGCCCTTTAAGAAGGAAACATGCCTCCCATTTTCTTTTCTTCTCCTTCCTATTTTTTCTTTCCCCTCTCTTGTCTCTCCCCTCTGTCCTCCATTCCCTTCCTCCTGGATTGCAGATGTGAAAGTGGTCACTTTCACCCAGGAGATGGAGCCAGGTGCTGAGGGTGGAGAAGCAGCAAGGGGACACCTGGGTTGGGAATGATGAAGCCACTGCACTGCTGCTGGCCTGACCATGGAGACTCTGAGGTATAAAACAGACATCTATTTAAGTTCCTTGGATTTCTCTGCACAGGAGGTGAACACACATATTCTACCAAATATTGTTCCTGAATTTCATTTTTCTGGGAGTAAACTATTGCCTCTTTCTACAATGGGCTGAACTCTAATCCTTTTAAACATACATATAGACACAAATACATACATACATGTGCGTGCATATACATACAGCTCATGTGGCTGAATTACCAAATGCAGCACCCACTCATAGGGAACACATGGTGAATGGCATTTCAGTTTTTGTTTTCATGAAAAGATGTTTTCAGCCCATATCTAGCCTGTATTTATTTCTAAATAACCCTTAGTTAGGACCGTCTGTTCTGTGCAGTGAAGGACTGATTTTCAGTGCAAGTGGGTTTCTTGATAGTATTAAACCTGCCCCGTCAGCTAAATTCCTCTGGCTTTATGTGGCAGCGTGGTGAAAAGACATGATCAGATTTCACTGTGAAGAAAATTCTTTCAGTAATGCGTGTACCATCAAGTTCCTTGCATGGGTACTGAGCATTTGGGTGATGAGATTTACAACAATGCCTTGTGGCAAAGTTTTATGGAAATGTGACCGTCGGGGATGCGCCGTCTTGGGGTGACATGGCTGGGCAGAGCTGTGCTGCCGGCTGTCACTGCCACTGTGTCTTTTTGCCAGCCACGCTCCTTGGGTCTTCATATCTGAGGAGACGGGACAGTGAGCAGGCCTGTGGGCTTGATCTTGTTGATGCCCCCATCCAGAATACAGACCCTTGGGTATTTCATCTTCACAAGATGCGCTGCAAACTGGGGAAACAGCAAAAATTATAAAGGACACACAGAAGACTTTTCCAGCCCGTTTTTCTCAGGCTATGAAAGACAAAACAACTTTAATGTTACCTCTGCCGTGACTTTTGTATAAATGTCATTACTCTAGTCATAAATTAAATCAGTCCGACTGGGTGATAAGCAACTTTATGCTATGGGATAAACGTGTATCTTTGGTTCTCTTGTATGGCTTTTTCTTGGACAGACAATAACTACTGATGACAAATAACTGCAGCTCAGTTTACAAGGGTGTACGGAAGTAAACTCTACTCTGTTTCCTGTATCCATCCCCAAGGTTGTTGCTGCTACTATTTTGTAATATGGTAGTGGGAGTCAATCTCAGATCTAAATTGAAAAAGTTCTGATATTAACAGAAAACTTACTAGTTATACAATTCCATGAAGTGTCACAGAGAGGGTCCACCAACTGGTCGCCACAGGGTTTTGGGACAACCATAATGAGATCATGACTTGGACTGAGCTTCAAGGTCTAATCCAATGTGGCTCCTGGATGCGGGGCACCCCGGGATTTCATTAGTCTTATGCAGATTTGTGCAGCAGCAGCTTCTCCAGGCTCCATTTCCTTTCCCTGCTCCTTCTCCTGGATGATGCCCCAGCTCTGGCCCGCTTGTCACTTCCCAGACATCACCCTGCCCGAGCAGGCTCAGCCTGTGTGCAGGTCGCTCTCTGATGGGAACATGCTCAATTTCCCACCAGTTCCTGCCCCTCCATACTACCCTCCAAACTGCCTCGATTCTATTTATATTCCTGCTACCTCCTTCTTTAAGAGTAAGTCTCCACTGGGGTTCTTGCTTCTTAGCCCTTCAAGTTTCTTGTGTGAACCTCAATCTTTGGCCCTACCAATTTATTTACATTACCTCCCCAGGAGCAAATACTCTTGTATTTCTTTCTATTCCTAGTGCCTGACACATGGTCAGAGTTCAACATATGGTGGCTAAATTAAACTAAGCTATTACAAATGACCATTGAAACTGGGGCAAATCTATGAAGTAAAGTTTTTCTTTGGCTCCTGGGCTATTCTGTCTGTTCCTTCCCTGGGAAGTGCCCTGTTTCTCTTCTTTGGGTCTTTATGTTCTCAAGTTCAATTACACTACGGAAACCTAATCTTAGATCCTTCATGAGAAACGACTATTGCTCCTCTCTGTGCTGCTCTAGTAAGGCTTCAAGTGTAAACTTTAGCATTTAAGTGAACTAGCTGAGTGCTTTAGTCAGGATAAGTTCAAGGCCACACTGCCTGAGATTGTGCTTCATTTAGATTGAGGATTTGCATGTGTATATGTGTTACTGTGTACTGAACCTAATGCCTTTATACTGAGCTACCTACCCAACCCTTTCAAATGTTTTTCTTTGTTTTTAATTTGGAGACATGGTCTCACTAAGTCACTAAGCTGCCTTGGCTGGGCTTGAATTGATGATTCTCCTGCCTCAGCCTTCTAGAGTGCACCACCAGGTTGGGCTAGGAATGTGTATTTTTAAACACTCCAGATGATTCTGGACAGTCCATGGTAAATAGTGAGAAAACTAGCTCTCCTATCAGTAGGTGGACTACATGTGGATGGACGGATCCTACCGATCCACAAACAAGGAACACAAGGGGACTGCTGGCAGGCAGCCCTGCCCATCCTCCCCACGATGCTCTGCAATAACCTGCACAGTCTAATGGTGCTCACATTCCGACTCCTATGCTGGACCCTTAATCATACTGAATGTTGGAGAGAAGTCATGCTCCTGTACTCTAAAGGGCATCACATAAGCTAAGATCTGCTTTGCTTTGAATCCCAGTGCTCAGGATCAGAGGCCCCAGCTTTATCCACCTGTCATGTACAGGCAGGCTGGGGCAGTACATGTGGTCCTTGGAACCACATCGTTGTGGAAACATCTTGGCTGCCTTTTCCCATGTGCAGTGGTACAATTCCCATTCAGGCAAAGCTTCTTAGCTGAACAGTACTTTACTCAAAGGACCTTGTGGATAAGCAGTATCAGTTTTCAGTACTTTTAAAACACCATGGAAGTCAGAAAATGAGGAAGGAAGGACTCACCGCACATTTCACTAATCTCTCTCAACTACGCTGTAGAGCTGGAAAGTTTCCTACTGTTATTGTAGAAGGGACCTAACAACCAGGCTGCTGTTGAGCTGGAAAATAGTAACCGCTCTCTGGCAGAACAGCAATTTGGGATAATCAGGTTGCTGCTGCGTGGGTAGTCTAAGATTAAAATGTAGAAATGGAGAATAGGGAGATGGCAAATGTTTAAATGCCTTGAAAAGAAGTGAGATTGTGCTGAAAGGAAAAAGTGCCTGTTGAATTTGTATGCAAGATTGTGAGGTCTCCTCGGGTGCTGTTTGTGGGTCCAATTATGCGAGTTAAGTACTGGCCCTTCCCAGTACTTAACTGGAACATGACCGCGTCTTTTCACCTCCAACCCTGGAGTAGCTTCCCCATCTGCTCAGGGGTTTGGTCATTCATGTACCAGCTCGCAGAACACCGGCTGGGTAGCAGGCATCCTTCCGGCTTTTGAGTGCCGACGGCGCGGTGGCGGGGAGAGCAGTGGACTATTAGCATGAGGTGGTATGGGTATTTCACAAGCAGAAGGTCAGGGCACTTGGCAGCTCAGAGTTTCTGAATTTTACAGGGGTTGGGGGCTACCCTCCGCTTTCCCTCTATTCCTTTCTCATTACTGATCCCTGAAGAGAACGGGAACTCAAACTGACAGCAGCAACTGCTATGCTGATTGGACCGTTTTTCTGTTTGTTGCTAACTGGTGCACCAGGCTGAAGACAAGAAAGGACTGTGAGTGTGTTGAGCGCCGTCTGGTGAGGAAGAAGATGAGGGGACACAGGGAGAACCAGGCCTGTTCCTCCCTCCGCATCTGCAGCTTCACTGAGTACATGTGGATGGGACTGGAGTCTGGAGAGGGTGTGGGCTCCACATGGGAGTGCTGATGCGGAATTACTGAGTGGTAGCCTTAGTAGGTGTGTAGGCCACCCCAGTGCACCAGCGGTTATGGAGCCATTAGAATCACCTGGGTGCCTTTAGAAAGTGCAGTATGCAGATCCATTCTGGACTAGGAGGAGTAGGAGTTGCTTAGGATGGAGCTCGGACCTCAGTTGTTCTGTGAGAGCCTCCTGTCCTCAATGACTCTAGCGTGTAGCCAGTATTAGGAATCGGTTGACTAGGTAATGGGATTCATTTGGAGGCCGGCTTGGTCTGGGACCCGAAGCTGCCCGTTTTACAGGCATAGGATCTGTGAGTGTGCACTGTGGTGTGTCAGCTTGACTTGAGTCACAGCCACCTAGTGGATTAGGAAAGCGCTGGGTGTGACTGGGAATGGCAGAGCTGTAGGCTGCAAACCGAAGGGTGAAAGGCAAAGAAGGAAGTCTGCCGTTTTCGTCTTCAGAGATGCTCATCTTAGCCACTGCCTCTGAATGTTCATCCTAGTCCCTTCAGTCTCCCACTGCAGGCCCTTTGGCTTTTCCCCACAGACTCAGCAGACTGCTGTGCTCCAGGCCGTAGATGGCTGTTCTGTATTCTCGCACCTCTGATCTAGCAGCCATGGGGACTCTTCTGCTTCTGAGTCTGTAAGCCTGCCTAACAAATCCTTTGTATAATCATACAATCATTTAACATTAATATTTAATATTAAATCTGTTCCTCAAGGGAACCGTAATTAGTATATAGTCCTATGGGGGGGGCAAGTCACTTTGTACAAGAAAAGACAGCTACGTATATAAGGCTGGGGTTTGTGAGGCCAAGTCCTAGTGCTGGAGAATGGAGTTGTTTAAACTGCACCACCAGCTGTGACCTACCGGTTAGTGCAACATTCACATGGAGCTTGCAGGACGTAGTAGTTGCTGGGGTATAAACTGGGGACTCCCACACTGTATTTGGTGTGGGCGGCAGGTAGAGAGGAAAAAGCTCTTATTTTCCTGTCATTCCTCTCGTGAGTGGGATTTGGTCCTGGTACTCATCTCTAGGGCTGAAGTAGGTACCTCAAACCAGCAGTGTCAGCACAGCAGGCTCTTGCAGGGGTACCCCACTTTGTTTTCTCTTTTTATCTTGCATTTTTAAGCTTGGACTGAAAAACTTGGCATGTTTGTCCACAGGAAGACAAGTTCTGTGCAGCAGGAGAGTGAGTGGTGGAAAGGATTTTTGAGCAAGCTCAGTGCTTCAGGTTAAATAAGGCCAAGATTTAAATAAGAGAACCTTAGGTAAGATTCGAGAGGAGCAGAGATGACTGTCTTGGTTTTCAACTGAGCCTCTAGGACACAGGCTGGGAAAAACTCATGGTAGTAACAGAAAGCTGAAAACTGAACTTCTGCAAGATTGAGGGGAGGAGCACATGGTGGGCCAAGGAAGCTTCTTTCTTTGAGCATTGTGAGTTTAAGTTCATGTTGCAGACCTGACAACTGGCATGGGCTGACTGATACTTGGTAAACCTTAAGCAGAGAAGTCTTTCCCTCTTTGATCTGTCCATTTCTTTTCCCCCAAATAATGCTCCATTTGGGGTAAGGAAATGCTTCTTTGATCAGGCATGGTACTGAACGAGGGCACTTGTGATTACCCTATAATGAGGAGTTGCAGTAAATATGCTTTCCATGACCTAACGGAAGTGAGCCTGATTCTGTGTTGTCTCATGAGCCCTACTGATTGTCTGGTGTGCTGAAAAGCTGGTATGCTGTGTGGCTGTGGGCTACAGTTGATGTTCCATGCAATGTACCAATTTCTAAGAGTTTGGCCAGATGAGTGTTTCTGAGATGAGAAATAGAATTTAGGATAATTTATTTGTTCATCTAGAGGACAGTATGCCCTTGGGACAAATGTGATGACATGCTGTCTTGTCCTGACTGTAAGAGATTTCTGAGACAGTAGAACTGGCTGCTTAGTAATCTTAATGAGAAACACAAGAGCTGTGACAAGGACTGGCAGAAAAAGGCAGGAAGGATTTACAAGTCACTGCACT